GGGCATCCACGCCGCCGCCGCAACCAGCGCCAACACAACGAGCAGCGCCACACGCACTGCCGCAATGGCCCTGCACCGCACACGGTGCCGGCTGCGCGGACACGCACCCACCGCACACCACATCCGCAAACCCAATCAGATATCAATAGTAATTTATTAGTCTATCGCTCTCGCACCGTCGACCGTAACTCCTGCTTGATAAATCCCTTTCTACAAATGGCAAATCCAGAAACACAATTCCGATAAATCGATATCCCACTACTACTAATCCTACTACTGCAATTAATTCCTAATAGCTTGAAACGATAGTTGTGCTGGTCAAGCCAAAGTATCTCTAACTGCACGCTCAGAATAAGAATAAAAGACAGCAACAACAGTAACCAAACACACTACCAGGCAGAGGCATCCGGCCACAGACAACCTCCACAAAAACACAGCCACCGACAAAAAGACGCGAAGACGCAATCACGCCAGTGACACCATCGCCCTCCCATCGCCCACGCAGTCCCACACAACTACCGTAGCGAGCGGCACGATCCCAACAAAAAAACACATGGCCATTGGCACCGCTCTTGTGGCCGAATGGCTTCATCACAGGGCAATCCCGATGCAGTGAACAACACACAAGTGCCGAGACAGACCCACGTGGCGGCGTCGCAACCGCCAGCCATCGAGCGCGTCCGAGGATAAAATGGTGACGCGGAAAAAGGGGTGGAGGATTCGCCGGTCGCCAGCAGTAAAAGCGTCGTTTCTCGCTCACACGAGTCGGCGTTGCTCAACAAACAGCGGAATCATACGCGCACGGCACAAAAACAAAGAAAGAATAATCTTCCGGGAAGCTGGCCGGATCCTGAAAACCTATGGAACCAAACAAGTTAGGAAAAAAGGTTCGTTAGTTAATTGCTTCAATGTTTTTCTTTTTAATCAATATATATAGAATTCTGTGGACCACTAGCATGGTCCCTTGTCCTTACTTAGGATTTAAATATTATTACTTACGAAGTGGCAGACTTTGGGGTCCTCCAACCACAAGACCCCGCCGCTCCCCTTCGCAAGTTCCACCCCTTCGCCAATTCCTGAAGCGTAAACACACGACCGCGTGATATGCCGTCTGCGGGATTTTCTGCAGACCGCACGTAGGCAAAAGTTGCCTGCACCCAACGAGATTCCCAAAACCATATATCCGTTGCAACTCCCACGTAAACGCGTGCGATTTCGAGCTGCCTTTATTCGCCGCTCCTTGCAGCGAAGTATTGTCCACCCAAAAGTCCATGGTGGATGGCAAGATGGCGGAAAAGGCCGATAAGGCTAAGCGTACCGCGCGCGCCTCGGCCTGCATGATAAGAAAAGGTCTCTTCCCCCATTTCCCTCCGGCAATTTTAACGTCGCCGGAGTCTGGAATAAAAAAGGCTCCCCATCCATGGAGCGATGCATCCGTGATGATGGCGGCTGATGCCTTTTCCGTGGGCTTGATGATTCGCTTGCGATTGTTCTCGATGATGTGTCGCAATCTCTCATCCAAACCAACCGCTGACGGCGGAAGGTTCGCCGGGGATGTCTCCAGCACAATCCCCCGGTTAACTGCCGATAATCGTCGTCGCACTGCCTTGATAAAAAGGTAGTAGTCGCATAATTGCGTGCCAAAAATGGCCGCCGCATACAAAAAGCGTGACGCCACAACCTCCATTTCCGCGATGGTTAAAGAATTGAGCGCCGGCATGGCGCGCACAGACCGGACAAACTTGTCACTCAGGGATACCGCCCGGTGTGTCTGAGATCAAACTGCACCCCCAGAAAGGTGTAATGCGTGGCGCCCGATTCGCGGTCCTCCCCCATCGTGGCGTGACGGCCATCCGCATTACGAAGTACTTGGGCTTCCCAAAATGTCGCATCGCTTCTCGACCCTGCACTGCGTATATTATCGATCCAAACGTCGTCGCGCACCAATGGAGGTGCAGCCCAGAGGCGGTGAACCACCGTCGTCACCCCCGCAATTGCCGAAGTAATAATCTGGAGGATTTCTGGGCTGGCCTTGTATCCCATTGGGAGCCGTGTGAGCTCCACCAGCGTGCCGTCCTCCACGCGGCATCGAAAGAGATGCCGAGTCTCCCGCGGTAAAGAGACTTGAAAAAAGAATGCCTTTAAATCCAGGCAGAAAGCGGCCTCAGCCATCACAGGCGGCAAATAATGGGAAATGTGCAAAAGAGGAACATTCGCCTCATAAGGGTCGTCTCTGTTCTTGTCGCGCGGCCACGCGATCCATCGTCGTCGTAAACCGGTGGTTTTCTCCTCCACAACCGAAAAAGGTATTGTCCATCCGCCTGTTATTGTGGACGAAGCGTCCTCGATAATTCCTGCTTTTCGTAACAATCGCGCGTCAGCGGTTGGAATCCTCCGTGAGCCTTCGCACGCTTTGCCGGAGGAAGACGGAGGGAAAGGGGACCGCCCGACGCGTCCCCAAACTTGCATGAGACTCTCCAAGGTAGCCGGGTTCAACCGACTCATGATCCACTTTGGCATTCAATACGGGCACGTTGACTTGCTGTAACGGGATAGCGTGTTCATCTTGTGGAGTGGTCAGGCGCGTCCTTTTCGCGCTTCTCGTTGTCGCAGCATGATGATTAAAATCATGAAAAAAACGCTCCTCTGCTTTCAACCAGGGTTACTGCCCTTCGGCCGTTTCTCCCTTCACATCAATGCGACCAGCGACGACAACTGGGTCAGCATTGTGGTGTAACTCCCCAAATATCGAACTGTATTCTGGGGAAGGTCGAACAGGTCGACGTGCTTCGCCAACTGCGAGATCACGTGTGGATTCAAATTGTACGTCTCCACGATTTGAGCAGCGTGCCTCAACGCACCGCGTTTTATGGAATGCGCCGTGGCATTCCAAGGAGCCAGAGCTCGCCCCACGTGGGCAGCCGTAATATTCGTGAGCTTTTCGTTTTCTTGAAGTGTCCCGCATAGCTTTATAATGTCGAAGGCGTCCTGCCCTCGTATCCTCACGAACCGCGAGGCGCGGTGGGGATCCGCTTTCGCCGTCTTCGGCGCCATGGACCAATCCAAAATTAGGGTCCCGTCCGGCTCCATTATAAAATTTTTGGGCGTTAAGGCCGCAACCTCGGATCAAAGACTCACCGTTATCCACGCAAGTCGTAAGACAACACGTTCCTTCCAATCTGTCCGGCTGCGGATAACTTGATTCATCTCTTCCTTTGTCAAGGGGCGCGCCTGTTTCGTCTCCGATCGCGCCGCAATTTTTTGTAGCCCCAGAATCATCATTTCCAGCGGGGTCCGATTCATTTCCAACATGGACCGCAGCATCCTGGCGTACTGCGGTCAGGTCGATGGCGCCACATCTAATATTGCCATCAAAAAGGCCGCGCAGCTCTCCTCGTTCATCGTGCGTTCGTGCGTGCGGCAAAAAGTCGTGAATCGCCCCGCTAGGGAAATTCTCTGCTCCCACGTTGACGGCGCCCACATCTCTCGAGCCACCTCGTTCGCTCTCCTCATATAACTGGCCCAAAACGGGGATGTCGGTAATTCGTCGTACCACAGTCGAGCGTCGTTTACGGATAAGTTCCATTGCCCTTCCCGACGATTGCGTCGGGCGATTTGAAAGATCGGGTGGAGCATCGGCGGTGCGGTGCGACGTCTTTGCGTGATGGTTGGAGGTGGTGGAATGGATGGGGCTGCCGTCTCCAGCATTCATGAGCGGCGTGCGGCAGCCCCTCTGCCGTTTTTTCATGGGCGCCTGTATTGTGAGTAATTCCCTCTGGGGCGCACGTTGCATGTAGATGCCTCGTGTCCATAGGTATGTCATCGTTGGCATCGCAAAGTGCGTTGGGTTTCTCGCCGATCGACGAGAGGCTGGGCTGCCCTCGCATAGGTGTCCGTCTGGCGAACAGCGGTGTAAAGACGGGCGCGCAGTTTGGAGAGCCGGATGCCGGGATCGGATGCCATCGTGAGCTGCATCCGGAATGTATTCAGTAGGGACCTCCCCAAATTCATGAAGCGATCGGTGGGATCCGGCCCGCCTTCCAGCACGCCGATCCACTCGACCAAATTGTCAAAGGCAAGTTTAACCTGCTCGTCCTCTTGTTGCCAGCATTGGTATGCGCACCGGAGGTCGCAAACGACGCCGTAAGTTCCCTCATTCCATATACGCGTGGACCGCGTGGTGACGTCGAATGCGCAGAAACCGCGGTCCTCTTCCATAGGTGATTGGGCTTCCAGGGGAGAAGTGCGGGAAGGCAACGGCGTGAAGGGGTGGAAATGTGGTCTCCCAACATTGCCGTGAGAGGGTCTGTAAGCCGCCGAACTGTGTCGGGCCGCGCTGCTAGACACGCCTCCAGCCATCAAGATATCCGTTTGATGCGGGAGTGTAGATACGCCATCGTCGGCAACGTGTCGAGTGGCGGGGGCCTCGTCCCGCCCCGCCGTCTCCGCATCCCGCGCGGGTTGTTGTGCATTATGGCGTGCCTCCCGATCCTGGAGTTGACCCGTGAGCCTTCCCAAGTTGAATTCGCGCTCCCGTAATTGGGCGCGAGTGTTCTCCAATTGCCGTTGTAGTTCTGAGACCTGGTTGCCAGCCCCGGCGATATTGGATTCCCTCGCCGAAAGGTTAATATGCGCTTCCTCAACCTGCGAGTTAAGCTGATCATTCCGATTCTGCACGTCCGCGACGGCGTTTGCGTAATCAATATTCAGGCGCTCCCTGTCAGCAGTGATGAGCCCTTGTTGGTGCCCCAACTCCCGGGCTGCCCCCATAGCGGGCAGGAGCGCTTGTGTCTCAAAATTAGGGATCCGAGGCGCCCGTAGATTCGCAATATGTCCAATAAGAGTAGAATCCTGCCATGCTTTAGAGATAAGTCCATGGAACAAGCATAACCCTGTCGATGATGCGGCCACCGTTAACGTCTCGTCCGACATCTGGTTACCATCAATGAACGTCATTTGCACCTGGGTCTCGCCACATTGGCACACCATGTCCCAGAGACGGGCGCCAATACCACACCACTCGGAGAGTGTGTAGGGAACCAAAGCCATTTCCTTAAACTTACCTGGCTGTGTGTCTGTAAAAAAATAAAAACAAAAATATTATCTGGCCTCTATCGGCTCCC